GGTAGGCAGGCGGGGGGGGGGGGGGGGGGGGGGGGATGTGTTAAGTAAACCAGCCAGAGAGACATGCCATGTGATCTGTCACTCACATGTGAACCAGCTAACGAACCGAAACACTCGTGATGCAGACACGGCAGCAGCAGCAGCCGGCCTTGTTCCCAGCTCGGCTTGTTAGGGACACCCCACCCCGGGTCACTGTCACTTGTGGGTGGCCCCAGTCCTCACGGCCGCCCTGCCTGCAGGTAAGTCCCTGGCGTCCTGCCAACAGCAATGAGGGCTCAGCTACAGAAGGAGGGTGCAGAGCCCACACCACCCGGGCACCTGCAGGCCCCGCTCCGTGACTGGGCCCCACAGGCCCCTCCCCCAAGACCAGGAGGCGGAGCAGCTCGGCCTCGTCCACAGGGACAAGCTCAGGCAGGGCCCCAACGAGGCAAGGAAATACGCCCCGAATGAAAGCTCAGGAACCTCCAGGAAAGGGGTTCCCCACCAAACCAGTGACTAAGACGCTAAAAGGTCGTCATTAAGGAAGTAAAAGGCCCCAATACAGTTACTCACCCCAGGTCCGGTCTCGGCCGCTCCTTCCTTGGACGCGCTGCCAGGCGAGGGATGGGCCCTGAAAAACAAACCTCCTCCCTCTGATGCAAACAGCACAGCTGCGGTCACAGGGCAGCGGCGCCCTTGGCTGTGCAGCCTCAGGACTCACTCCGATAGGAGCGGACCGAGGACAGGGACGGGAAGGGTCTCTTATGAACACAGGAAAGGCTGGGGCAGCAGGACTTACCGGGCAGAGACCTTAAACCAAGAGAGAATGAAGGACCCAGCAACTGTATTTGTGGGTTTTTACCAGAAGGAACCCAAACACTACACTGAAAAGACATACACATCCATACGTTCATGGCAGCAGCACCTGTGTCCATCGATAGACGAGTGGATGAAAGTGCACGATGGAATAGGGCTCCACCCTTTAAACAGGATGACGACACCTACAGGGCCTTGTGCTCGGAAATAAGCCAGGAAGAAAGATACCTGTGATTTCACTTGTATGTGGAATCTAGAACACAGCAAAGGCACAAGTAGAACAGAACCGACTCAGAACAGGTTTGCCAGAGGGAGGAGGAGGGGTGTGTGTGTGTGTGTGTGAAAAAGGTGAAGGGATAAAGAAGTGCAACTGGCAGTGACCAAACAGTCGCGGGTGTGAGGACGGGGAAGGGAATAGCCGCTAACTGTGATGACTCCACACGGTGCCGGGGGACTAGACCGACCGGAAGGCATGTAAGTGCTTGGTCACTGAGCCGTACACCTCAGTCCATCCTGTGCATCCACTGCAGCGAAAAAATGAAACTACAGAAACAGGACGTGCACTCAAAAGCAAGGGTTTCCCAAACAGAACGAATGGGGTACCGATTTCCACGGGCAAAGGGCTTCTAAATTCCAAAATAGCTACCTGGAAAGGTTAGTAAGAAAAGGCGAGTGAAAAATGAGACACAAAGTGCAGCCCCGTGGATATAAACGGCTGCGGTCACGTCCACACGGGACGCTACACGGCGTCAGAAAGGAAACCACCTTTTGCAACAGCACGGAAGGCCCTGGAGAGTCATGCTAAGTGAGGTAAGCAGTCAGAGGAAGACACGTGACTTCACTCATACGTGGGATCTAATGAACAAAACAGACACAGACCCATAGATACAGAGAACAGGCCGACAGTTGTTACAGGGGAGGGGGGTTGCGAGGAAAAGGTGAAGGGATTAGGAAAAACACCCCAAACTCGTAGACACAATAGTACGGTGATTACCAGAGGGGGGTGGGGGGAGCAGAGGGAGGAGACTCGGCTTGGGCCGGTGACCACACAGTGCAATACCGGATGCTGTTTCACAGAACTCTGCGACTGAAACGCAGTTTTATTTACCAGTGTCACCCCAGTCAGTTCACTGAGAAAACTGTGAAGCAGACTCTGCTTCCTCCTGTCGTCCTCACCCGAGTGCCCCGCTCCTGCTGCTCCTCCTCTGAGGGCCCCTAACTGTGCACAAGTCCAAGTCTGCGGCCTCATGGACACCCCCTCCCCCCACCTTCAGAGGAGGGACACACGTGGGCCCTTCTCAGGGGTTCCTGGGGAACTGCCAAGGGAGACGAATTCATGGGCATTTGGCAGCGTTGTTGTAAGTAGCTCTTTAAAACACACCTGGAAACACCAGCAATATTTCACGAGCGCCTGGCTGGTATTCACTCACATGTAAACGCACGGCTTCATCTATTTGCCTCTTGACCATCTGGCTAATAATAAAAGGGCTTTAGTGGGAGCGGGGAAAGGGGATAAACGGTGAGGGAAGGAGACTAGACAGACTGGGTGGTGAACACACAACACAACAGACAGATGCTGTATCATGACATTGCACACCTAAACCTAAATAATTCTATTAGCCAATGCCACCCCAAGCTATGTATATAAAAGCCTAAGTGACTGTCCGACTGGTAGCTATGGCGCACACTGACCACCAGGGGGCAGACGCTCCGACCGGTAGGTATGACACACTGACCACCAGGGGGCAGACACGCAACACAGGAGCTGCCGAGCTGCAATGACTTGGCAGCTGTGGTTTCGTGTGACGCACCCGGAACCAGAGAGGAAGGAGCCCAATTCCGGGGTGGTCACCCGAGAACCGCCCTCTCGCAATCTGGGAGGGACCCCTTGGGGGATGGCGGAGAGCCAGTTTCAGCCCGATCCCCACAGGCCAGGCCGGGGCCTCTAGTAAATTCAATTAAAAAAATAAAATTTAAAAAATCGTAACAAAAAGAGTGGTGCTGTTTTCAGAGAAAGGTGGGAACAAGGGCCTGAAGGACCTCATCTCGCCCCAGGGCAGCCACCCAAACCTGCTTTTGTGACACATTAACGGCACTGCACTGGGACGACGGAGGACGACTCCTCCGTCTCCAGCAGCTTCGCGTGCGCGTGCCTCCCGAGGGCCGAGC